CATCCAAACAGCATCACGAAATTAGAAAACAACGAGAACAAGATGTCAGTCACTCTTTATTGTTAGAGATCTTTATTTTCTGAATTTTCGAGAAAATTTTTGTAAATCAAGTAAACAAAACAAGATGCTGCTGGGGAAGAGGTCGAGGCCGCCGATGAAGAGGACGACGAGCATGACGGAGATCACTTTCGATCTAAACACGTCCGCAGTTGAAGCTCCACAGTCTGATCCACACAACCCCTTTAACAATACCCACCAAAAGGCCATGGAAATTTACGGAGGTGGGGCTGAAGGCAGTGGCCTTGAGGGGTTGGATCAGCGGTTCTTGAACTCGATGACGTCGTCGAGAATGCATAGGAGACACTCCGGTGATTTTGCCGGAACTTCTCACTTCTTGCGGGCTTGCTCTCTATGCAAGCGACGCCTTGTTCCTGGCCGTGATATCTACATGTACAGGTGTATATATATATATATACTTTCTTTCTCCTCCTCATATTTTGTGCATAAATTTTTACCTAACAGGAGTTCACAAGTAACGCCCATGTATAAACATGGACTCGACCTTGAACTCGATAATCTACACTATTAAGTTTATAGATCTTCATGTATATATACTCGTTACTTTGCATTTTGGTAAAATGGGACAATTATGAGTAATGTTAGAATTGGTGTTGCTTTTTATTTCCATTTTGATCGATGAAACTTGATAGGTTTTTTTATTTTAGTTGTTTTTTCTTGGTTTTGTTTGTAGGGGAGATAGTGCTTTTTGCAGCTTAGAGTGCAGGCAACAACAGATGACCCAAGATGAGAAAAAGGAGAAGTGTTCCTTGGCATCAAAGAAACAAGGTGCCGCTACTGGAGCCGCATCCTCCGCTGCTGGATCCACCAAAGGTGAGACTGTGGCTGCCGTGTAGAACCCAACCACCGTACGCTTGGCCTAATCGGAACGAGAACTACTACTGCTTAAGAAAGTAATTAATGTTATTACATGGGCTGGATTTTGAATGTGAATTAACATCTTCAAGTCTGTACGTCTTCCTATTTTCCTCTTTTTGACTTTGGTTTTGTTTTGGAAATTGGTAGTAATGGAAGAAATTTGCAGATTCACAAGAACTAATATTAATCTTGAAGCTTCTCCCATTTTTTTTTTTTTTTTCGTTTTTTTCCTTTATTCCTTGCAGGGAGCAGATTCTAAACAGTTCAGGTAGTGAAAGTTATATCATATTATGGAATTGATTTTGAAGAGATTCTCCACTTTTTCTTTACATCTGATAATTAGTTATAAGATATGTATGGATAACTTTTCTCTGCCAAACCTCTATGTCTAGTCTTTAAATTAAAGAGATCCTCCATTATTTTTCTATTGGTAGTGGTACTTCTCTGTATTAGGATTTAGGATTAATTTGATGCACGAGGGTGTCAGATTAATTTGCAAGGCATAATTAAGCATCAATAATGTAGCACTAAATTAATCTATTTCTCATGGAAGAAAAGAAAATTTGAATAATTAATTGGATATTAATGGGCTAATTAAGAAAATATTGTCCATAAATAATTGGAACAATTATAATGTAAATCATACCTTGTCATTTATATGCTATACATGAAATATAAAACACGTTACGAAGAACTTATAACATGAAAACTAATGTTCATGACATGTAGGATAATTAGGCACTAAAAACCTTTAAATATCAATATATATTATAGGAATATCAATAGAGCTATGTAACGACATATAAAAATTATTCTAGAGTTTTTTGTTGATTAGTGTTGATAAACACATCTATTTTACTATCCAACTACCACGGAAGATTAGAAAACATGATGGTGTAGTGTCTCCGAGTACTACAATGCTTTCTCAAGACTTAAATGAATTTCTAATCTACAAATGGATGGAAAACATCAACTAGCATTGCAGCACTTGAGTCATCAAGCCTCACTTTAGATGGTCCTTCAATCTTTGAGTGCAACTGGTGCTAACTTCCTCTTCCCTTTCCCTCCTTTTCCTTACTATGGGATAGGACCAATCGCCATCCAAATCTTTTCCAAGTCTTCCGTGGAACATGATCCTTCCTCTTCACTATCTTAGCTAGATGGCAAAGAGGCATATCTCTAGGAATGGAGGCTGAAACCTACTGCTCTGAGGAGTCATTACTTCCTTTGTTCTTTTGCTTGTTTCCACAACCTCCTTACCAATAGACTTTTGTTTGTTATTGACTAGTTGAATTTTACTAAACAGTTGTCTTTTAGCCACTCTAGCCTCCCCGTGATCTTAGTTTTCAATTGAGGACTCCCTTAATTAATTACCAATGGAGAAGCAGATATATTTTTGTTCTCTATTGATTAATAGATTAACCCACAAAGACACCAACAAGCTATTAGAGAGAAGCATCTCCTCAAAGACCTCTAAACCCTAATAATTTTCATTCTCAACCCTCAACCATGTTTTATACAATTTAGAGACTTTCACCTTAGATTTTTTCAATCTAAAACCTATTGCACAATCAGAAACAACATGCCTCATATATAAACAATATGCCCTATACATGCACAAACAAAACAAAACTTTGGCAATCATTCATTCTTGATCTAGAGTCTCTTAGTTTTTGCGCTAAAACTCTCACATTCTTAAAACACTTCAAAAACCATTTACTTCAAGTTGGATTGTAATTCATGATCAGAGATTAATAATTTTGTTATATACAAACAAAACGTAAAACATTCATATTTTGAAATTGAGCATAAACATTGAATCATTAAATAGAATTGACTCTTTTAATATTAAGGATTATTTTTTTATCTAATAATTTTTATTTTATAGTTTATAACAATTTTAACTAGGGAATAAAAAATCAAAATTCGTATAGTACCCCAAGATTACTTGATTTGAATCATTAGCTATTTCATGTACAAAGCAAATTTTTGAGAGAGGAGAATATGTGGCCTAGTCAGCTTTGCATGGAGTGGGTCCCTGATTGCACAAGGTGAACAGCTAAAATGTAAAATAAAATAATAAATACAAGAAAGAGATTCATTTGGAATTTTTGAAGGGGAAGGGAAGTCGTATTCCTCTGTTCCGGTTGGCGCCGAGTGTGGGTCCTAAAATGAATAAAGTGTTTTCCCCCTTAACTTGGCTTTCTGATTTTAAGTCCTGCTCCTCGAGCAAATATAAGTTTAGAAAATACACCTTCTGCGTCTTTTTTTTAGTATAAG